AGTCGGACGCTTAACCGACTGCGCCACCCAGGCGCCCCAAGTTTATTCATTTTGAGAAAGAAAGAGACAGTGTGAGTGGGGGAGGGGACAGAGAGAGAAGGAGACAGAGAATCCCAAGCAGACTCCACACTGCCACACACAGCCTGACACGGGGCTCTAACCCCCAAAACCATAGATCATGGCCTGAGCCGAAACCCAGAGTCGGATGCTTAACTGACTGAGCCAGCCAGGTGCCCCTATTTTACTATTAGTTTTAATATTTTAGAGTTGGGGGAATAGAATATGCTAAAGCATCATTTTCCTTTCTTGCTGTGGGAATGTTGGATTTCTAAGTGATAATGTTGTTATTGTCTACACAGATCACAATAAACAAAGAACAGCTCTGGAGTAGAAAAACTATGGACCCCATAGAACTCCTTCATGTCACCTGTTCAATAGTCAACTAAAAAGGCATTTAGTGCAGACACGCTCTTGTTGAATTCTCTGTGCTCCCGACTTACCAGTAGCTGAGATTCCAGGAATCTTCTGTGCTGCCAGCAAAAGATCATCAGTGGGGTCAACCCAGTGCCTGATGCTCATCTTCCTCGCATTATAGCAATTACCATTGGCGGCCCTTCCTGTGCACTCAATTGCCACCAGATGGTCGAATCTGCCAGGAAGCAAGGGCATAGGGGCTTTATGGAGGGTGTGGCTGACTTGTTGGGTCATGTGTTTGTGTGAAGGACCCTTGTGCTCTCTTTGATTCCTTCATTCCTGCAGAATTTGACTCAACATTTATGTGTGCCACGGCCTGTGCTGGGGGCTAGTTGATCAGATCATTTTTTTTAAAGTTTATTTGTTTATTTTGAGAGGAGGGAGGGGCAGAGAGAGAAAATCCCAAGCAGGCTCTGCACTGTCAGCATAGAGCCAGACTCGGGCCTGGAACTCAGGAACCGTGAGATTATGACCTGAGCCGAAACCAAGAGTCAGATGCTTAACTGACTGAGACACCCAGGTGCCCCTCGATTAGATCACTAAAAATCTCATCAGAATCTCTAGCGGTTCATTAGAGTCAGAGGCTGTGAGATTGAGAAGGCCAACGGTCAGGGTCACGTGTTTGACACTGCTGATGCCCTGCCCCATCTCCACTAGCCAGTGGGCACCAGCACCCAGGGGTTGGAGCGTTGGCTGCTCCTGGCCCACTTCTGGCTTCTTCTAGGTTCTTGTTCAGTTTACGAACACAAACAGACTTAAAAAAGAGTTGAAATGGAAGACAAATGAATCTAATACAAGACGGAGATTAGATAAGAGGCACAGGGAGCAGCGGTAAGCTTGTGGGCTATGGAATCAGATGGTGTAGGCTCTGAGTCCAGACCCTCCCACTCCTGGCCTTGGCCAAGTGCTTAACCTCTCTGACCCACATTTGCTACCTCGGATGACCTGACAAGGGGACCTGTCTCATACAGGGCTGAAAGCAGCCTCCCTCGGCCTCATTTTTGGACACTGTGCCTGCAATATCTACTTCCCCGGGTTTGAAAGAGGCTTCAACAATATAGTGGAGAAAATGCACAAGAGGTGCTTAGCAGAGGGCCCTGCACCCACTCAGTGCACGGTAAGTGGTAGTAGTTGTGGATGTTATCACTATTAGGAGGAATATTATCTTTTTTTCTCCACTATTTTTAAGTTTTTATTTAAATTCTAGTTAGTTAACAGACAGTGCAATATTGGTTTCAGGAGTAGAATGCAGTGACTCATCACTGATCTACAATGCCCAGTGCTCATCACAAGCGTCCTCCTTAATGCCCACCGCCATATAGCCTATCCCCCACCCACCTCGGGAAAATACTGTCTTGATTATCCAATTTAAAAACATGAAAATCACACTTCTTTATTTCTGCAAATCCTCCCATGATGGAGTTCTTTAAAATCTTTGCTACAGGTAGCTAGGTGGTTAAGCATTGGCTTCAGCTTGGGTCATGATCTCGTGGTCTGTGAGTTCGAGCCCACATCGGGCTCTGTGCTGACAGCTCAGAGTCTGGAGCCTGCTTCGGATTCTGTGTCTTCCTCTCTTTCCGCCCCTCCGCCGCTCATGCTCTGTCTCTCTCCCTCTCTCAAAAATAAGTAGACGTTAAAAAATTTTAAAAATCTTTGCTGTGGGAAACTGTGTGGTGGTTGCTCAAAACACGTAAAATAGAATCACCACGCGAACCAGAAATTCCACAAAAGAATGGACAGGGGGGTCTCCAAGAGATATTGCACATCCTTGCTCACGACAGTGGTGTTCCCACCAAGCGAACGGTAGAAGCAGCCCAGTGCCCACTGACAGACGAGCAAAAAGAACCAAAAGTGGTGCGTCCTCAAAAAGGACGGAAATTCTGACATGTGCTACAACATGGATGAAACTTGTGGATAATTTGCCGACCGAAATCAGCCAATCACAGAAGAACGAATACTGTAGGATCTCACCTTTATGAGGTACTAGAGCAGTTGATTCATAGAGACAGGAAGTAGAAGGGTTGGGGTCAGGGGTTGGGGTCGGGGTGGAGGATGGAAAGTCACTGTTTAATGGGGACAGCATTGCCGTTTGGGAGATGAAAAGGTCCTGGAGATGGACACATGACAATGCGAATACACCTTAATGCCACTGAACTGCACACTTAAAATGGTTAAAGTGGCAACATTTATGTTATGTATATTTTGCTACAGTAAAAAAAAAAAAAAACACTAAGCTCTGAATGCTTTTTCTGTACATGTTTTTATTTATTCTATTTTATTAAAACAATTTTTTTATGTTTATTTATTTTTGAGAGACAGAGACAGAGAGAGAGCAGGGAAAGGGCAGAGAGAGGGAGACACAGAATCTGAAGCAGGCTCCAGGCTCTGAGGTGTCAGCACAGAGCCCGATGTGGGGCTTGAACTCACAGTCTGTGAGATCATGACCTGAGCCGAAGTCGGACGCTTAACCGACTGAGCCACCCAGGTGCCCCTGTACATGTTTTTAAAAAACAAAATCTTTATGCCTGGTCTGTGCCCTCTGGTTGTGCATAATGTGGTGACATCATATATGCCTGGATGAATAGGTCACCGGGTAGGTTTTGGAATGTAATCCTGAGGCTACATGTCCACGGCAGAAAAAGGCAACCACTGAGAAGCAGAATCAACAAAAGGAAGGAGCTTTTTTTTTTTTTAAGTTTATTTATTTATTTTGAGAGAGAGGCAGAGTGAGTGAGCAGGAAAGGGCAGAGAGAGAGAGAGAGGGAGACAGAGAATCCCAAGAGGTCTCTGCGCTGTCAGTGTGGAGCCTGATGCAGGGCTCAAACCCACGAACCGTGACATCATGACTTGAGTTGAAACCAAGGGTTGGACGCTTAACTGACTGAGCCACCCAGGCGCCCCTAGAGGAAAGAGCTTTGACCCTGAATTTCCTCTAGATCTGTATCAATGTCGTTGAAAAAGCTGTTTACAACAAGACCTCCAAATGAGATTAATACATTCTCTGTTCTGCAGGGAGAACACCATTTCTGGATCTTCCCCCCAGGAGAATTCAGTTATACACCTCATGAAGGTGGATTGATTTTTTTTTTTTTTTCTAGGCCTGCAGGGTCCATTTAGCTACAGTGGGAAGTAATCCACTCCTGGGAAGCCTGCTCCCTGGAAAGAGTTAATGCATCTTCTCCAAACAGAGCAGAACCCTCTCTCTACCTCTCTCCACTCAGCAGAGCAGCACCTGTGTTAACTGCCATCGGGGATCCCACACAAGAGAATGTTCCCGGAGTTTCGGAGCTTTGTTTATATGCCAACTGTTTGCAGAATAGAAACATCTCTAATATGAACCATACATGTTCTTGCAGCTTTAAATAGCATATCAGCTCCATGATTGAACTTTTCATTGGTGACTCAGGGTTGTCATTATGATCACCAAATTCTGCTGTGACGGGCAGTAAAGCTATGCCCTCTAGGCCTATTAAGTCAGTGTTTTTAAGTTCTAATGGGACACTCATTAGTGGGTTGTGAAATAAATTAGGCCACGTCAGCATTTCCAGAAAAGTAAAATAGAACACCGAAGAACAAAATAGAACAGACTGGAATAGAAAATGTCAGAAAATACTGTTTTTTGAATCTTCTGTTCTAGTTGTGTGTGCATACGTGTGTACTGTTTTGCAATGCAAAATGTAGTATGTATTACTTTTGTCAAAAACGTTTGCAGAACACGGTATTAAAAATTATAAGATCTGAAATTCATCCCTACCTACAATAAAAATATTTTTCAAAATGTTTGATCATAACACACAGTAAAAAAAATACACATACTTGGGGGCACCTGGGTGACTCAGTCAGTTAAGTGTCTGACTTTGGCTCAGGTCATGATCTCACAGTTTGTGAGTTCGAGACCCGTGTCATGCTCTATGCTGACAGTTCAGAGCCTGGAACCTGCTTCGGATTCTGTGTCTCCCTCTCTCTCTGCCCCTCCCCCACTCACACTCTGTCTCTGTCTCTCAAAAATAAACATTAAAAAGGCACACACACTTGCATAAAGTTTCATGACAGTACTTAACATGATGACTTAAAACATACAATGGTATTTCTATTTCTGTTTCACCTTCCGAAGGTGCTGGTTACCCCCACTGGAATGATTCACTGCCCTCTGATGGGTCATGACCCAGTTTGAGAAACTGTTAAGGTTTTGTTTTTTATAATTGTCCTATTGTCTCCCTCTACAGAGAAGACATGCCATCTCTCAGGGAACTGCCACTCCCAGAGACCCTCTGCGAAGCCCCCAGTACAGCTTGAGACCCTCCAGCCTGGCCCATCAGAACCCTGAGGTTCTGTCCTCTCTGGAGTTGTCAAAGTTAATAGCGTGTGGGCTTTTCCACCACCACCACTCACACTGGGAGGTGACATACATACCTGGGTGACTTGGGGTCCCCATCTTTGCAGAGAAATGCCTGAGCAGCTCCCGCTGATTCACCTTGGAGAGTTAATATGGGGATCTGTGTCTTCAGGACCCCTTGAAAGTAAAGGCAGAGGGTGGACGCATCAGCCCTAGTGCTGCATTTTGGAAATTCACGTTGGCTTTTCAAAAGCTTCTTTGGAGAGGATCATCATCATGGGTGAGCAGCACCTACCTGTAGAATACTTTGTTAGGAAAGCCAAGACCTGGATGCAAAAATACTTGCTTCCTTTTAGTCGTGAGTAAACCCCAGGGCTTGTGGAGTGTGTGGCCCTGAGTGGAACTGGGCTAGTGGCACCAATATTGTGGGCTAGCAAACAGGCTGCATGTAGATGTCCATAACACCATGTGATCGGAGGCCTATTCTGGCTCACTGTCCTTGTGAGCGCTGAGGACATATTTAGGTGCCCAGGTGACAGGGAGGCAGCTCTCCACTAAGTATGTGACATGCATGCTTTCATTTAACTGGCACAACAATTCTATGTGATAAGAACCATTATGAATCCCATTTTACAGAAGAGGGAAACTGAGGCTCAGAGATGCTAAATAACTTAGGCAAAGCTGAACATGGAGGTCAGTGTCATGACCTCAGTTTCCACCCTAAGTTCTCATCTGGTCCCCACCCTCCCCACCCTGCACACCCTTGGGGAAGTTCGAGAACAACAGAAGAGAGGTTCCAGAGTCTGGGCCTGGAGTTAGCTACTGATAGTAAAGTGATTTCCAAAAGGGAGTTTGACTCTCAAAAAAGGCACCTTTTCTAATTACAATAATAATACATATTATTGTAGAATACATGGGAAGCACACACAAATTCCAAATTAAAATAAAACTGACTTGGGGCAGCTGGTGGCTCAGTCGGTTAAGCATCTGACCCTTGGTTTCTGCTCTGGTCGTGATCTCATGGTTTCGTGAGTTCTAGCCCCGCTTCAGGCTCTGTGCTGACAGCTCAGAGCCTAGAGCCTGCATCAGATTCTGTGTCTCTTTCTTTCTCTGCCTCTCCCCGGCTCGAGCTCTGTCTCTCTCTGAATCTCAAAAAATAAGTAAACATTAAAAAAAAAATAGTCTCCTTCTTGGGATAGATTGAAACTAGTTCAATCTTAAAAAAATAAATACATAAAAATAAAATTGACTTGATTTTCTTTAACTAAGACCTCACAGCAGTTTGGGGTGGAATCCATGCGCCTTCACTGGCCCAGGATGAGGTCTCCCTGCAGAGCTTGAGACGCCTAACAGAGGGCCTGCGACAGGGATCGGACCCAGCGCTCATGGTCCCACGGGTTCTGCAGGACCCCCCAGACTGCTCTGTGGACCAGAGGGGGTGTCATAATCTCCGTCATCAGCCCCTCACACCCCTCACATAAACCCAGCCCAGGTAAGGTCTATGTTACGACCATGTGCTTATATAACAAATGTGGATTCGGGATGGCCCAGCTTCACCGTGTTGTTGCCCCAAGCCCTTTGGGAACTGCCACAGTGGGTGGAGGGGCCAGAATAATTGTCAGAGACCCTAAAGGGCCTCCCTCCAACCTCTCTCTCCAGCCCCACCCCATGTCTGAGGGGGAAAGACAAGAGGAGGGCAGTCAGTCCACTAAGGGAAACTCACTGAGCACATTCTACATGGGGCAGGCCAGGGAACGGGCAGGGAGGGGGGTGCGGGGGGTGGTCACAGCAGGCTGAAAGATCCAGCTCCTTTCTGTGCTGTGAGGAGCAGCCTGGTGGCCCGGGACGAAGACTGACTAAAACACCCCTGGGTGGGAAGCTACATTCCTAGCTGTGTGACCTTGGACAAGTCACAGAAATTCCCTTAGTTGTGGTTTCCTCCTCTGCAAATGGGGTTAATCATGCTCCCTGCCCCCAGGAGTGCTGTGGATGCAGTGATAGGATATGTGCCAAGCACTGAGCTGGGGGAGGCCGGTGCATAGTAGGTGCTAAGTTAAGGCTGGTGGTTTCTTACTTTCTTGACGTTGGATCAAGGATACAGGATTCCCGTAAGAAGGAGTACCAGGGGCCAAACAGGGCAGGGCACATAACATACCTCCAAGAGGGGGGCACACAGAAAGAGCCCCTGCAAAGGAATGTCAGGGCAAGATGAGAACCTGCACCTGAGCTACGAAGAACCAATTTATCAGTTTGGTCCATTTACGCTCAAGACAGGGAAGAAATGACTAAGCTCTTTCTTCTTTAAACATGTGCAGCCTTTGGTTATAAAAAGAACCGAAATAGTTTTCATCAAAAGGGCCAAATCTCTTTTGCTTTCCTCGTCCACATGTAATGAAATTTCTGCACAACCTAACACAGTAGATTCCACCTGCTAACCCGCCCGGCTGAGCGAGCCCCAGTTCTGAGCTCTTGTGCCGCCGGAGTTGGAGCCAGCGAGCAGGTGAGCAGAGAGCAGACCTGCTTCTGGGAACGCGCGCGGCTAAAAATACCGGACCCGGCTGTCAGATGGAAAAAAGACTGCCAGCCTGTTGGCGGTGGCTGCCACCGCGGCCCGTCCCTTCTCCGTGTTGACAACACAGTCGGTAAGTTTTCCTGTGTCCTCAGGGCAGCTACTCCCTTCTCCATCTCCCTGCTGGCTCCCCCTCTTCTCCTCAGCCTCTCCCTGGGGAGCGTCCCAGGGGGGCAATCCTGGGCCCTTTTCTCCGTCTCATATTCCCTCGGTGATCTCACCCTGTGTCTGGACTTAAAAGACCATCAATATGCCAACTGCTCTCCGATATATCTTTCCAGCCCAGACTGCTCTCCTGACCTTGACTCGTAGATCTGTCTACTTGACTTCTCCATTTGTGTGGCTAATAGATTTCTCACCCCGAGGCTCCAACCTGCACTCTTTTAAAAACTTTTAAAACGTTGTGATTTTGGTAAAATACATAATGTGAAGTTTACTCTCTTGGCCATTTCTACGTGTGCATTTGCCCGGCATCGAATACATTCGCAACGTTGTTTGACGAGCACCCCACCATCCCTCTCCAGAATTTTTTCATCTTCACGAAGAGCTTCACTGAAGCCCTTTTTAGAGGCTAAAGGGAAAAAAATGTGTCTCTAAAGAACACAGAGAGGTAGGCAATGGGAAGCAGGGTAGAGCACCAGGCTCCCAGCTGATGCCCAAACACCACCTGTGGAAGGGAGGACAGGTGAAGAGACTTGCTCACAGTGCCCCCCAGGCCGATCGTGGTGCACAGACGTCAGCAGCACAGCCTCACCCCAGCGCTGTTTGCAGCTCTCGTGCCACCTGGGTGCTCTGGGAACCTGTGCAGCATGGGGCATCCCCACCCATGCGGCCCCGGGAGGGACTCTGCCACCTGAGCCCTTCGGCCACTCTGTTCTTGACTATCCCGCCTCTGACTGGGGGGCGGGGGTCCAGGGCTGGCCAGGGTTGCTGAGTCCTCTGCAGGTCACCAGGGCTCTTGTAGGGAGGGGAGCAGGTGCACAGTGGGACCTTGGGACCTGGAGCCTGAAGGACCGGGGTTCAAACCCCAGCTCACCATTCCCATCCGGGGAAATCACCTGGACTTCTCAGAGGCTCAGCCTCTTCATCCATAAAACGCGGATATAATGCTGCTTATACCAGAGAGTTGTTCTGAGCTTTACGACAAACGCCCCTGCCCAGTGCACAGCCCTGTGCTGGGTGCTGGGCAGGAGTTCCACGCACGCTGACCCCCACCCTCTGCCCGCGGAGGTCCCCTTGGGGAAATGGACTGCCCTCATCTCGCTGCTCACCTTGCTCAACGGCATCTTCCACAGGTTTCTTGAACAAACCCGAAGCTCTCAGGTCAACGATCACGGAGGCTTCCTTCTCCAAGGCCTGTAGGCAGGCGGCCAGAGCAATGGCTCCTGATGGGCCGTCTGTCTCTTCTGGGGGCTCATGGTTGAAGTGAGTGGGGAAGCCGGCGGTGACGAGCACCGAGTGGGCGTGGGACAGTGACAGGGAGGCCCTCAGCAGCTCACCTTTACAGAGCAGGTGCCCGATCCTCCGGTGGCCTAAAATTATTTGGAAAAAAAAAAAATCATAAAACAACGTCATTGTGTTTCGAGTCGAAACTTAGGCAAACAGCGGTTTGGTTTTTGATTTCCTTTTGTTTCTCACGTGGATTTGAGGGGTGTGGCAGAGACGGCTGGTCGTTCCCTGGAATGCCTTCTCCTCTGTCCCCTCTCACAAAGGGTAGCCGGTCCACCTCTGCCCAGCAGCAATTCCAGTTAGTGGGGGTGGGGGAGGGGGAGGGCACAGGACTGGGTTCTCTCTGCAGCATTCGGAGAGGGTCAAAGGGAATGTGAATGGAAGTCATGTGCACCCCCTCTGGGCCTGCCACACACCTCCTTGCCTACCCCCCTTCTCGGGTGTTGGGGTGCGACAACCAGCGCCTGCTGGGGGTCACGGGGTGTGATGGCAGAGCTTCTGGTGGGGGCAGGTCCCCCTTCCTGCTGAACATGAACACTCACCTGGGAAGGCCTGCCCTGGACAGTTGCGTGAGAGCCACACACTTGTACTGTATTTGAGGAAAGCATCTTGGGGTCAATTTATTATCGTGCTCTTCGCAAATCCTAACTCGTACAAGAACGTCAAAGGAGGAGAGGCAATGGGGCTGCCCTCGTCGGGGAGTCACCAGAAGAAGGCCCTGAGACATGGACTTGGGGGCAGGGATTTCAGTGGGAGGTGAGCCCAGGAACATGAAGTCCGAAGATGGAAGAAGTGTGAAAAAAGGGAGAAAAGCCGCTAAAGAATGCGTGAGTGAGCAAATCAACCCCAAAGGCAGCTGGGGCCTGATCCCGCTGGAGATGCTCTAGGAAACCGTGGGGTACACACCTCAGGACTGTCCTGCTAGAGGACAGGGAGACTGGGCATTGAGGCACCTGCCCCTGTCCCCTGCTGGGTGCAGGTTACCCATCAGGACATGAACTCCCCATCACCTGGGGCTGTGCCTGCTGTGCTGGGTCTGGAGGTACAAGGACATGCTCAGGTGGAGGACAGAGAGTTGTGAGCCTAAGTGGGTGAGCTGTCCCATTGGGAACCCCCCACTGCAGCAGCAGGTGAACCCCTGGGGGCAGGGGAGACAGGTGGGGCGCCAACGGCATCTGCTGTGATGCCTACTGGTGACTGTCAACCTGGTCCCAACTGGGCAGCACAGCCTCCCAGGGCCTGTCACATTTCATCATGACCCTGTCCGTATTCAGGGCACCCCAGATCATATCTGCACCCTGTGAAGGCAGGATGTGGCTCAGAACTTCCCCCACAAGCTGTGGCTGAAACGAGAGGTGGGCTGAGGGACGCAGCCAGAGGAGGTCAGCTCGGCCTTGAGCTGCCTGGAGAACATGAAGGGACACAGGGTTGGGCTTTCTGTTGTGGGGGGACAGTTCCAGACTTAGAATCCAGAAACTTATATTCAAGCCCAGGTGTCGGAACATGGTAGCTGTGTGACCTTGGCCTCATCCCTGGATTGCTCTGGACCTCAGTTTCCTAGTGGAGCATGGGGGGGTCCAGGTGCAGGGAAAGGGCCCTTCACATACCTCCGGTAGGAGCGCCAACTGAACATTTGTCTGGAGGGCACTTTGACCTTAGATTGGCACATTCTAGTGGCACCAGCAATTCACGGGTAGGAATTTACCCTCATAAAGTGATTGTGGGCGGGTCCACACACATAGTCAGAAGGCGTTCATCACAGCCTTGTTTGTGGTGCCAAGTGACAGGATAATAATATAAATGGTGGCACATTCCTCAAATGGAATTCTAGGCAAACATTAGAAAGGATGTTGTAGAAAGCTAATGACATGGAAGGATGTTTGCAAAATAAAAGGAAAAATATATTTACAATTTGTTTACATATATAGAAAGAATATATATATTCTTTCTATATATATTCTTTCTATATATATATTCTTTCTATATATATATATATATATATTCTTTATATATATTTCTTCAGTCTTACAGGTTTAAGACTGAAGTAAAAGACTTTAAGGGCAAATATTGAACGGCTGATAATGGTTAATTGGGATGAGATTTTGGTAATTTTTTTAATGTTTATTTATTTCTTTTGAGAGAGAGAGAGAGAGCAGAGAAGGGGCAGAGAGAGAGAGGGAGAGAGAGAACCCCAAGCAGGCTCTGCACTGTCAGCACAGAGCCTGAGTCGGGGGGCTCGATCTCACAAACCGACTGAGCCACCCAGGTGCCCCGATTCTGGTCATCTTTACTGCCTGTTTACGTTCATTATTGTCTGATACTTCTCCAACGAGTATGAACTGCTGTTGGTGGAAGGAAAGAAGAACATTTTCAAAGAAAGAAATCGGAATGTAACCTATTTCATAGGATGTGATAACAAAAGTGAGAGGAGGAGAGAGAGAGAACTTTGTCAAATTTAGAGCAGTGTATGATTTCATCATTTGCGATGATTTTATTATGAGAGAAGCATCGTCACTATGAACCCTGTGTTCTTTCATATTCTCCAGGCACCTCAAATGCAAGCCAACGTCGTCTCAAAAATGACTGAGTGGCTCTAATAGTGAGTAATGCTCAGTATACCACCATTAATCTTGTATCTGCTTATGTAATATAGTAGGAATCAAAAGCATCTATTGTTCTTGGGGATTAAAGATGTTCCTTAACAGACCATATTGGCACATCCGGACAGTCATGAATCTGCCTTTCCCCCAACCCTCATGCTTCAAACCTTGACACAGTCTGACTAAGCACCGAAGGGGGGCTTTGTGGATGGCCTCCTAGGTCATTCTTAGTAAGTTAGGGTGTGCTGGGTCTACAGTAAATTTGCTTCCTACTTACTTTTTTATCTGAGCTAATGGCAGAGTTAATAATTCATCTTCCCTTATGACCCTTGTGCTGAGTGGAAGAGATATAGCCTGGATAAGAATGTTTGTGAGGGAGAAAGTATTGCAGAAATTAAAAAAAAAAAAATCCACCCAGGAGATCAACTATGTAGGAGGTGCTCTCTCTCTCTCTCTCTCTCTCTATATATATATAGCCATAAGCATTCAACTCCGTATATGCATATGTCCTTAAAGGTGCACCTGTGATAGGTATAGATCTCAAATTTACTGTGGGTTTATATGTAAAAGAAACCATACTCTTTGCAGAACCAATGAATGAATGAATGAATGAACGAACAACCTAACAGACATACAAAAAATCAAAAAGCTATGCCCTGTGGTTTTGAAGGAAATTTTGCTACTGTAGACCTTTGATCCCAAACCCAGGGGAGAGAGAAGACTTTTTTTTTTTTTCTTTTTAATTTTAGAGAGAAAGAGAGAGCATGAGCTGGGGAGAGGGGCAGAGGGAGAGAGTGAGAGAATCTTAAGTAGGCTCCATGCTTCGCGAGAAGTCCAACATTGGACTCAATCCTACAGCCCTGGGACCATGACCTGAGCCGAAATCAATAGTCAGACACTCAACTGACTGAGCCACCCAGGCACCCTGAGATCAGACATTTTTAAGGCTGGTTACTGGTCCTGGAACTATTTGATTCTTGGCCACAGTATTATTTAACATAAAAAGGCACCCTGGCTGGCTGCTCTATGACTCTGCCCAGCTGCTGCTCTCTGTACTGATGTTACTGTCATCAGCTCTGTCTAGGTGCTGGGACTTTGGCCAGGAGGGTCGATGTCTGCAGGCTGACCTTACCCCTCTGCTCTCCACAGGGGCCCCACCACCATCAATCCAGGTATCTGCTTAGGAAACAGGGATCAGATGGGCCAGCAGGGAGACCACTATATGCCTTTGCCAGACATTCAAAGTGCAAAGAGCTCCCAAGTCTAGAATTACAGCCCATGAGAAGGTGCAGAAGAAATGGGGTGTGAGCCATGAGAGACCAGAGCACTGTTTTAACTGGCCCAGTGGGACCATGATATACGACTTAAACTCAGATTCCAATTTATCCAACATTTGTTGATCGTGGGCTTTGGAGTCTGTTAGCGTGGATTCAATATCTGCCCCGACCATCTGCTAGCTAGGTGGACTTGGGCAAGTTTCTTAACCTTATATGCCTCAGTTTCCTCATCTGTTAAAGTTAATAATAGCTGTCTCGTAGGGTCACTGGAAGAATTCAATAAGACGAAATGTGTCAAAGCTTTTAAATTTTTAAAAAAATTTATTTATTTTGAGAGAAAAAGAGAGAACACAGAGGAGGGGCAGAGAGGAGGAGAGAGAATCCCAAGCAGGATTCACACTGTCAGCACAGAGCTGGATGTAGCGCTCAAACCCACAAACCATGAGATCACGCTTAATGGCTTAATCAACTGAGCCACCCAGGCGCCCTGAAATGTGTCAAAGCTTTTAACATACGGGGAGAGCAGCTGGGAAGGCTGCACCTTAATTCTCTGGGGAGCACTAGCTAGCAAATTGATGGAATTTCTATGCACATCAGCGCCCTCTGCTGGCCGTATGTTTAAAAATTAGACATTGGCTCTTAACAAATGGTGCTGCAAGGGAAAGAGAAAAAGCCCCTCGACTGGCTTACAGCCAACCTCCTCCTACCTGCAACCAGAAGACCCCTAGTGGATCTCATGTCTAGAAAGCCAGCAGGTCACAAGCCATAGAAGGAATGTCCTTTCTCTGAGACTCAATATACAATATACATGTTGCTTCCAAACTCTTGCGAGGCTGTCTCTTGCAGGGTCCTGCCCTACCAGCATCTGCAAGTGAGTGGCAACCCAGCCCCCCGCCCCCACCTCTGTTGCCCAGCACAGCCTATTCTGCACCCAACCTCAGGGCAATGGCACAAAAAGATGGGATTAGGGACACTGAAACCCAGGGGTGACTTGTTTAAATGGTGCCAGTTGACTAGGAACCATACTCCCTCTTTTCTTACCTACCCGGTCCCAACTGAGTCCTGCTGGCAATGTGCCCAATTAATAAGCTCACCTTCCAAAGTCCCTCTTATCTTTAGTGTTGACAATTTTGGGGAAAAAAAACATAAATAAAAACCCCAAAATTTCATAGTCGAACTACCCAGAGATCATCAACATTAGAATTTTGGTGCATTTTTGGGGGATTCATACACAGTATAAACATTTTTTAAAAAATCACACTGTGGGGGCGCCTGGGTGGCTCAGTCGGTTAAGCGGCCGACTTCGGCTCAGGTCATGATCTCACGGTCCATGAGTTGGAGCCCCGCGTTGGGCTCTGTGCTGACAGCTCAGAGCCTGGAGCCTGTTTCAGATTCTGTGTCTCCCTCTCTCTGACCCTCACCGGTTCATGCTGTGTCTCTCTCTGTCTCAAAAATAAATAAACGTTAAAAAAATAAAATAAAATTGGGGCTCCTGGGTGGCTCAGTCGGTTGAGCGGCTGACTTCGGCTCAGGTCACGATCTCGCAGTCTGTGAGTTCAAGCCCCGCGTCAGGCTCTGTGCTGACAGCTCGGAGCCTGGAGCCTGTTTCGGATTCTGTGTCTCCCTCTCTCTGACCCTCCCCCGTTCATGCTCTGTCTCTCTCTAAAATAAAATAAAATAAAATAAAATAAATCACACTGTGGGAATGCTCAGTAGAGGCAAGAAGGGAATTTAGGCAGCTGACCCTTGTATATGTAGGTGGGGGTGGAGGGGAAAGACGACTCAAACAAGTATCTTAATGACTCTCAAGTAACTTTTTAAAGAGTTTGGAAAAAAAAAAGAGTTTGGATTCTGAATATCTGTTTAAATTTTTTTTCAATTTTTTAATGTTTATTTATTTTTGAGAGAGAGAGAGACACAGAGTGTGAGCAGGAGAGGGTCAGAGAGAGAGGGAGACACAGAATCTGAAGTAGGTTCCAGGCTCTGAGCTGTCAGCACAGTGCCCGATATGGGGCTTGAACTCACAAACGATGAGATCAATCTGAGCCAAAGTCAGATGCTTAACCGACTGAGCCACCCAGGTGCCCCTAAATTTTTTTAAATATTTATTTAGTTTTGAGACAGAGAGAGAGAGAGAGAGAGAGAGAGAGCAGGGTAGGGTCAGAGAGAGAGGGAGATACAGAATTTGAAGCAGGCTCCAGGGTCCGAGCTGTCAGCACAGAGCCCGATGTGGGGCTTGAACTCACGAATCGTGAGATCATGACCTCAGCCAAAGTTGGACGCTTAATCGACTGAGCCACCCAGGTGCCCCAAGCCTATGCCTACTTTCTTGGTAAAACAGCAACTTCTTCTCTTTGATAGTGCTAGTTAAATAAAGAGGAATAAATTCTTCTTTTCATAAAAAATTCGTACTATAGATGCATGTACTTTGCATGCTGCCTTTTTCACTGACCATTACTTCGGTGATGAATTTCTCCAAGTCATTAAGTTGTGAACACTTTGTTTCTTACCTGGGTCTATGACAATTATAGTCTCTAGTTCTCTAATCTTCTGAACAGCTGAAGCCGATGCGATGCTGTAGGGCAAAGGATTTTGGGAAATGTGATGGACCTCAGGAATTCCCTCAGGGGTAAGACAACTGGGTGGAGCCTCTGTATTCTTCAGGTTGGTCATGACTGTGCAACCCAGTGCACTGGTGAAAGCCAGCGGGGTCTCTAAAACACACAACAAGAGGGCCTGAATGCACTCACTTCATTAGACTCAGTTCATTCTCATCTAGCCCACTGTCGGAAGGGCAAGATGGCACCATGCATCAACTCTGCCAACAGTGCTTCACGGCTTCTTGCACCAAGTCAGAAAAAACTGTCTTATGGCTAAATCAAGTCCCACTCAAACAAGTGCCTCCAATTTTTAGGAAAGTGAAGATGAGTTGGGTATGGAAGAAGGGAGAAGAGAGGCACAGCCATAGCTACAGATAGGGCTCTAGGAATTTCCGTCAATTTAATCCCACAGGTATCCGAAAGTACTTACTGAACTCTTACAATGCATGAAGCCATCTTTCTGTACTTTGCTAATAAATAGCTCTCTCTGAACATACCTCCCATTTTTCCCATAGGACTTTTATTTTGATTTGGTATATGCTAACTTTGTTCTTTAAAAACTCCCCCCCACTTCCAAAAAAAAGGGTTCAGTCCGTTGAGTGTCTGGCTCTTGATTTCAGCTCAGGTTATGATCCCAGGGTGGCGGTATTGAGCCCCACCTTGGACTCCGTGCTGATCGTGGAGCCTACTTAAGAGTCTCTCTCTTTCTGCCCCTCCCCTGCTTGCATCCTCTCTCTCTCAATATAAATACATAAACTTTAAAAATATTTTTTAAAAAAGATTCTCTCTCTCTCCCTCTGCCACTCTCCCACTCACACCTTCTCTCTTGCACCCTCCCTCCCTCAAAACAAAACACAAACAAAACAACACACCTCTCCCACACTAACTCCTGGGCAATGTGAATCCTGGGCACTCTAGTATAGTTATAAAGAACTGGCTTTAGTGTGCCAAACAGAGTTGGAGATGAGACTTTATCTTCTCTAAACACGTTTCTTCAACTGTATCATAATGATAATGCTTCAGATAGTTGTTGTCAGAACTGGAAAATGCACATAAAAGTGTTTTCTCAAAGTGGTTCAGAGTAAACCTTCAATAAGTGATGGTTTGCCTCACTGAATCAGGCACAGTATCTTACTCGTCCTATGCTTTTGTGCCTGGCTCATTTAGGTGCTTAATACCTCCTGTCCTTCATTTCCGTCTTCTGCTTTCTTCACTGTCATTATTATCCTAGAGTGCTTCCACTCCTACTCAGCTATGTGCTCCCAGAGATGAGGGACCATTGTTTACTTATCTCAGAATTCGAGTGTCTCAACGCACAAATGTTTTGAATTTCACGGAAAACAGTCATGTTTTTTTCAGATTTAACAAAAGTCCAAAGTTAGTCAACACTTCAGAAGGAAAACCTACTGATAACTGCAGAAAGCATTCTAACTTAATTTTTAGACAGGCAAGGACTAAGGATTTTGATGAATGTAATCACTTTAGACAGCATCTAAAACTGATCACTCTAATGCCAGGTACACATCAGAACAGTCAGCTCAGAAGATGACACAGGGTTTTTCCCCACCAGCTGTGAGGTGTGTGGCTATCACCGAGAGAAGTTTGAATGTTGAAGTTTGAGCATGACTTTTGTAAGTCAGAAATATTCAAGGTCATCCCTAAGCCAATGACGTCACTTGGTCTCATTTACAGTCAGAAATGCTATTTCCAGCCAGAGCTAATGGGCTGGAGTTTGCTGCAGAACAGGGCGTCCCCTGTGGCTGGTGGCAGAGAGGCGTGAGGCCACCGTGCTAGACAATATTTACTGCACGTGTGTGGATGTGTGAACACAGTTGAGCACACACACACTCAGAAATGACCACACACTCCCTGAGAACTGCATCTTGTCTCATGCAGCATTTTATCCCCAAGATCTGGGTCTATGCCTGGTACATAGCAGGTGCCTAATACATTTAATGTTAGATAATAGAATTCCACGGATCTCATCACCATATTAATCTTCCCCTGTCATGAGGCCATTCTGATAGCTAAACTTATATGAATGATTTCAAAATCAATTAAAGTAACACTAAATTCTATGGATTGTAGTGTGAGTGTGGCTCACCTGGCTAGAATTTTCCAGTGTCTATGAAATAGACTGCAATAGTTAATGTTTTATCACATCCCTACCTTACTGTGAGCTAGTTAGGGCGCCCTCGTGTGTCGCTTCGTTGTAATAGCATCCTACTCTTGGGGAAAAATAAACTGACTGTATATGCATCACTTTCAAATACGGAGGTCCTGCCGGATGAAGATCTGTTCCAAGACCCTCCGTGGACAGGAAACCGCGGATAGCACCGAACCCTACAGACTATGTTTTTCCCTATATGTACATCCCTATGATAAAGTTTAGTTTATAAATTAGGCACAGTAGGATTAAGAAGGCTAATAATAGAGCAATTATAACAATATACTATAATAAAAGTTATGTGAATGTGGTCTCCCTTTCTAAAAATACCTTCCGGTACTGTACACACCCTTCCTCTTGTGACCACGTGAGGTGATAACGTGCCTGCGTGAGAGCTGAATGAAGCGAGGTGAGCGACCGCAGGCATTGTGATGGAGTGGGAGGCCACTACTGACCTTCTGACGATTCGTCGGAAGGAGGATCATCTGCTTCTTGACTGCAGTTGACTGTGGGTAACAAACCTCCCGAGGCAGAACTGAAGCTGAGGGGGGCCCGCTGCACCTTGCCAACACCACGTGGAATGGTGTGTTTAGCTGTGCTTTTGTCTTTGCTCTTGTTTTCACAAGCCCCACCCACCTTCAAAATGTCTCAGAGAGTCAAGCTAAATATTGGTCTTTCTATCACAATGGGCTGGGAGCCCTCTGCAGTGAGAAATATTTTAATCAAAGCATCCTTGGGCTGAGAGATGAGCTGCTGGTGAGACCCAGCCCTGGGAAGGGAAGAAGGAAGCCAGTGAGATCTGTATGCTTTGTGTTCTGTTTTGTGACTCTGTTTCTTTTTTGTTTTTAATGTTTATTTATTTTTGAGAGAGCATGAGTGGGGGGAAGGGCAGAGGGAAGGGGGGACAGAGGATCCAAAGCCGCCTCTGCGCTGTCAGCGTGAGCAGGGCTCGAATGCAGCACTCGGACTCACAAACTGTGAGATTGTGACCTGAGCCGAAGTCGGACACTCAACTGAGTCACCCAGGCGCCCATTATGACTCTATTTCTTAAATCACTGCACTGTGAGTCTATGCTTTCAAGAACTACAGCCCCACTGGTTTCCATCGTGGGTCATGGTGATTGTGCCCCATAAGCCCAGACACACTGCAGCTGCTGACAGCTTCGAGGCTGGTCATTGGAGAAGGTCAGAACACTGGGACGTCCCCCGGCTGACACACCACAGGCTCCCCATAGTCAGGTCTAGAAAGATCTTTGATTCCCAACCATTCTGCAAATGGAAAAAGAAAATGAAGTCCATCGGATCCTGCCCTGGTAGGTCCCATCCAAGTTGACACACATTGAGTGGTTTATGCTTCTTTCTCCCAGACAAACTCTGGTCCTAGGATTGCTGTCGATGGTACTGGAGAAAAGGAATTGGGACTTTAACAACCCAGGGCGCTTGCTAACTTCTGGCACATTCTGAGTTGCACAGTTTCTGAACACCTCAAACCCCTGGTTTGATTGCTGGAGGAGCCTTGGGTGCACTTAGCCCAGCACCTTGTGCAGGTTGCTAACCAAGCCAGCATTTGTGAGCCCACATTTATCTTGGTACAAGCTCAGTCACATAACGCAGACCTAAACTCTGTTGCTTAACCACCAACAGCACCCCTACTGATGGTCTGGCATCAGAAGGCTCATGAGGACAGCAAAGATGGATGTGTTGGGCCAACCCAGGCCCACCGATGAGAAGACAATTCAATGGTTCATCAATGCACTTTGCTTTGGGGGGGTCCTGAGATCATCTTTCTAAGAGAAAGGTGGCCCCACTGTTGATTGCATCTTTAGAGAAAGCAGGTTTTGTCTGATTGGTTCGTTTTACACAGCTGAGCAAATTCAGTTACACTGAGCTTTGACTCTCACCCAAGACCCAATCCCAGGTTCTCACCAGGTCCTCTGAGAACCACAAAGAGGCCTGGACAGCTGCCACTCTTGGATCTGCTCACTCACTCTCAGACTGAGTTAATACCCTGGGGATCAGTTGAAGTGAACATTTGGAACAAAGCCTTCCCCTGCTAAATACACTGCTGACCAACAGCCTGGATTAGAGGTTGCTCTCAGCTCAAGTCCCGGGACACATAGCTGTGCTGTCACTCTCTACCACCTGCTTCCCCCGACCCTTCAGGTTCACCTTAAGTTCATGGGAGATGATGGGTGAGGCTGACTATTCTGCCAAGGGCAACACCTTTAAACCTGAGGGACCTCTGTAAACCCAGCCCGAAAGCTGCTGCGGGAGTCTGATCCTCATCCAGGACGCCCAGGACCCCTGGGAAGATGAGGACAAGCCGGGGGAGTTCGGGAACATAGCAGGTTCCCGTCTTCTCGTGCTGAAGTTCAGGGGTGGCTGTCAGAATACTGAATGAGAGTGGACACTCACCCGGGTCGCCGACATGAATGGGATGTCCCTTATTCCCTGGGGAGCAACTGGCCCGCGCCAGCCCTTCCAGCTTGTTCTTGGGGATGGGCCGCATTGTGACCACCAGGTGGCAGCAAAAGCCAGCAATGGTGGCACAAGGCGCTGTCGTCTGAAAAGAAATCAAGGAAAACAAGTTGAAAAACAGAATTAACACAGATGGAAAGCCTGAACACCAGGAGTTCAAAGCAGCTGAATGAAAGAGGGGATCCAAGCAGCTATTATAAAATTATAGCTTCTACTTTTTGTTTGTTTTTAAGACTGATTTAATATATTATATTATATTATATTATATTATATTATATTATATTATTATTTAGTGACAGAGACAGTGCCAGCAGGGGAGAGGCAGAGAGAGAGAGGGAGAGAGAGAATCCCAAGCAGGCTCCTCTCTACCCACGCAGAGCCAGATGGGGGGCTTGAACCCGCAACACTGTGTAATCATGACCTGAACCAAAATCAAGAGTTGGAGAGACGCTCAACCAACCAACTGAGCCACCCAGGTGCCCCATGTTGCTTGTACTTTTATGTGACATAGAAATGAGAAAGCCTGCTGGTATTTATTGGTCTAAAACAGAGAACCTTGTATGTGCTGTGGATGCTCTGGTAGCTTGGAGCAGCTGCAGACCCCCACTTAAAGCAATGTTTTTAACTACAGGAAAAGAAACGCACAGGTTTACAAAGCCAACCAATTATATTGCACATGCAGTGATCAAATTATGAAAAAATGTGATGCAGCGATATGTATCCTTCATTAACAGCTTGGGGAACAAGACGGCAGACCTACCATTATAATTTTGGTGTAGTGATCAACATACAGGATATTTTTGTGCTATCAGACTGGCCATGAGACATGAAACTATCTGGCAGTTCTCTGGGCAGCCACAAAATCACAGGGTCTGCTGATACAACTGTAGTTCCTTGTCTGAGTTCATAATCAAAGGAAATGCTCAGTTTCAGTCTGAAGCTATAAAAATAAAGATGTAATTTTTTCCCCATCCAATTTCATGGGTCCTCTGAATTTTCTCCACAGACCTCTAGGGGTCCGTGGACCGCAGGTGAAGACCTCTAAGACAGTCAGCGGCAGAGGGTTCCAAGGACAAGGGATCTCTCAGGAGGCATTGGGATCTGCTTTGCCTCGTGAGTCCACACTGGGGATGGGGACCCCACTGAGCCCTGCCTCACTCCTCCTGCCTTAGAATGACCTGTGTGACTTTTACTGGTGGCGGTGTTTGTGGTCTGAATGGTTTCATAAGCTGCCGTGGGGCTTATGAATGATTTAGGATGTGGCCAGGATGATGATCCACTGGGACGTGGCTGCTGCCCAAAGGGCTTGCTGTTGGCACTGAGGGGGGAAAATGCCACCCCAAAATACACCAGTTTGGCATACGGATTGTTTTGAATTAAAGTTACTTGAGAAACCGCCAGTGCAAGAAAAACACTCTACACCCCTTTCCAGCCCCCCCCGCTGAAAAGCAGGAAATAATCCTCCCACGTGAAGGGACCCTCCCCGTACCAAGAGGGTAGAAGGCATCTTTATCTCCAGAGATGGGAAATCAAGGCCAAGAGGGCTGTGTAAACAAACCTTGTGACTTCCTTGTGAATTTACTACCCCGAGCTCAAACTTGTCTTACCAATTCTTCACAAATTCATTGTTTCTTTGTCTGAAAGGTGTAAAAGCTATCTGTTTTGGTCACTTCTTTGAGCCTCACATATTTGGGGCTCCTGTAGGTATGACATTAAATTTAGTTTTCTCCTGTTAATCCACCTCCTGTCGATCTAAGTGTTAGACCAGCCAAAGGGCCTAGAAGGGAAGAAGGGACAAGTTTTCCTCCCTGGCAGTCCCTGGTGGCCACAGGATGAAACCTTGGCGTGCCTGCCCGGTTGGTGTCTGAATCACAGCACTGGGGAAGGGACACGCGTCAGGGACTTTCACAGGGGACAGGCAGTGCTCCCCGAGGCTGCCCCTCAGGGCCCCACCTGAATCCAATATGGCTGCCTGGCCGTATCTCCCAGGAGCCAAGGGCCAGAGGCAACCGTACTGAACAGAAGGCTATTTGGTAAGTGAGCTGTCATGAGAAAACCATGGCATCCCCTGACCATGGCAGTGATGAACATGCTGTGCAAAGCATCCCTTAATCGTCACACTTCTACTAGTGACATTTCATAAACGGGAGCCAGGAGTCCTAGGGTACGGTCTGGCTTTGGGATATGGGCGAGTCCTTTTCTCTCTCCAGGCCTCAGTTTCCTCATCTCAATGACAGACTGCCCATGATGTAGCCGCTGCCAAGGGCGGTGTGTTTGGGGGCCACCTCTGCCCCAGGGCCCCTGCCAGTGACTGTACTTCTGTCTCCGCCCTTCCCTACCTTTAAGAAAACTGCTCAGGCACATGCTTCACTCATGAAAATTGTTTCTCATCGGAGGCAGCTCGGGCCTCTCTGGCAGGAGCCCAAACCAGGCGAGTTTCAATAAACGTCCGGAAGCCCAAGACAAAATCTGCAGTCCAAGTCCTCCATAGAGGACCCTGCAGCCGGCCGTTGATGCCGGCTGACCAGCTGCTGACGTGGGCTGATTCACACGATGTCCTGGAGGGGGGTCAGGGGAATGAGGGAATCTGGTTCTCCTGCCTTGACAAGCAGTGGCTGGAATGGAACTTCAGAGACACAGCAGGGAGGTGACCCCTAGCAGCGGCCACGTCCCAGCAGAGGCGACCCCCAGGGGCCACCGCTGGCCAAGAACAGAACCCAGCTCTCCTGACAGAAACATAACCCGGCAGCCAACAGGCTGGCCAAGGCCCTGCCACAAATCCCCGGGGCATTTACCTGGCCAGGCACATTCTGCCCGATGCCGGGAAGTTTGAGCCAAGGAGGATTTTCAAAAAGCTCACTGAGATGCTCTAAGTTAAAGGAGCCAGACAAATTCCAGACAGGTTTGGTTTACACGGTGGCCACAATGTCTATAAGGGCTTGACTTGCACACTTAAGGCCACCCTGGGAGCTCACAGCAATCCCAGAGGTGGGCACGAGGGAGGCTGGACATTCCGTTTTCCAGATGAGGGGACAAGCTCAGAGAGGTTAACCGCTTGTCGGCTTGCACAGCAAGAGAGTGGCTGAGCTGAGGTCACTTTAGTCTCTGACCTCCTGAGTGCATTTTCTCCCCACCACAGGAAAATACAAGGTGATGCACATTTTCAGGTCATTCTGCCCTTGGAGATTGTGTCCTACCTCGTACGCACCCACGTGACCATGCCCTACGGAGTCTCTTCTGGGGAGCCCCACCTTCTCCAAGGCTGCTTCCAGGGAGGACCTGCAGTCCGGGAGGAAGGTCACCATGTCCCTCAGCTGCTCCAAGTACTCCTCCAATGAGGTCAGGCTGCCTCTGTGGGCAACAAACTCGTACTTCCGGAACTAGGGACACCCTGTCCTGGGGGGAAGCTCATAGTTCCAGAATCAAGATGGCCCCTGACCGTGCATTTTTTTTTTAATTTTTTTTTTCAACGTTTATTTATTTTTGGGACAGAGAGAGACAGAGCATGAACGGGGGAGGGGCAGAGAGAGAGGGAGACACAGATCGGAAACAGGCTCCAGGCTCTGAGCCATCAGCCCAGAGCCCGACGCGGGGCTCGAACTCCCAGACCGCGAGATCGTGACCTGGCTGAAGTCGGACGCTTAACCGACTGCGCCACCCAGGCGCCCCTGACCGTGCATTTTTAAAAAGAATGGGGGATGGGGTCCCTGGGTGGCGCAGTTGGTTAGGCCTCCGACTCTTGATTTCAGCTCAGATTCATGAGTTTGAGCCCCATGTCGGACTCTGCACTGACAGTGTGGAGCCTGCTTGGGATTCTCTCTCTCTCTCTCTCTCTCTCTCTCTCTCTTTCTCTCTCTCTGCTCTTCCCCCACTTGTGCTCTTTCTCAAAAATAAATAAATAAGCTTAAAAAAATCTTTTAAAAAAGAGACTTTTCTGTAGAATTAAAATATTATGGTTTTAAGCCAGTTCTTTATTCACTCCAAAATTATTTTGTTGAGCCATTCCTCTGTGTCAAGCACAAACCAAGTGATGGGACAACAGTGACAGAGGACATCAGCCCAGCCCATAAGAAGTATGCAATCCTAGGTTGGCGGTGAGACTGCACTGAAAACAAATACTTGCAACACAGAGCAGTGAGTGTTAACAGTATGGGTGGAGGAGTGACCCACGGAAGGGAGGAACTCATTCTCCCCCACAAAGGGGAAGGTGCTGGAGCTGGATCCTGAGGGATGAATAGGAGTTCACCAGCTGAACAAGGGGGAAAGCACATCCTAGGCAGAGGGAACAGTATGTGAGCAGCATGGAGGCATCAAACATGTGACACACCGTGCAATCTGCTCTAAGCGTCCCCAAGATGGTAGCCTAGGGGGTGCTAGGAAAAAAACAGAAGGAGCTGACCTCAAGTCTGGGTGGGGTCTCTGAAGGACTCTCCTAGCCCAGAGTCCACAAAATGGTAGCAGCAGAATGTTCTGGGGGAGCTTTCTCTCTGGGGAGATGGCTGGGGATGGCTGGAGAGTCACGGGGGAGGGGAGACACTGAGCCAGGGCCTGGTCACTACAGGTGACCAGGTATCAGGCCAAGGTGCAAGTCATGGGAAGGCACTGAAGAGTTTATTTATTTATTTATTTATTTTTATTTTTAAAATTATTTATTTATTTTTGAGAGAGAAGAGAGACAGAGCATGAGCAGGGGAAGGGCAGAGAGGCCAAGATACACAGAATCCGTAGGAGACTCTAGACTCCGAGCTGACAGCACAGAGCCCGATGCAGGGCTTGAACCCACAAACCATGAGATCATGACCTGAGCCGAAGTCGGATGCTTACCCAACTGAGCCACTCAGGCGCTCATGGCACTGAAGATTTTAAACGGGGGAGTCATGTGATCAGACCTAGCATTAGGAAAAGTCACTCAGGTGGGCGAGCAGAAGAGATGTGAGCCTGAGCTGGGGTCGTGGGAGAAAGGTGGGCTCGTTGGGATGCTATGGAGGAAGCAGAATCAGTAGGCCCATACCCACAGTGTTAATAACGGCTCTCCCTGGGTAGGTATCAGTAATGCAAGTGTTTTTACTTTCTTCTTCATCCGGTGCTTCCGATTTCTGGCTTGGGTGAGGAAGTGGATGATGGGAGGTGCCAGTGGCATTTCTGCAGCCAGGGCAGGACTATCTTGGTGATCCCCAAGATTTTTCCCAGGGCAAGGGGCAGGGACAGGGACAGGGATGGGAAGGGAGGGGAGGACAGCTCATCCCTGAGCAACAGTCATGGGTGAGGCCTTGTACCAGGTACTGAGCATCCCCATGACTGGACAAAGAGGTCCCCGTTGACAGACACACCTGGCTGCTGCATGTGGCCACTCCCAAGCTTGAACCCTGGTAACCCAAGCATTTACCTGGTGTCCAGAACAGCGTTCGGGGTAGGCAACGTCCACTTACCTGGCTCAGTCAGGCCCAGGAGGGGCAGAGGGCCATTGTTGGCTTGGCAGAACTTTTCAAAGGCTGGAGCCAGGGCCCTGTGCAGGACCACCATGCTGGCTGGTCGGAGCCCTGAGTTTGGTGAGAGAAGGGACACAGGCATAGTCGGTTGCCTCTTGGTAGAGCCCTTCAATTTTAACTCTTTATCGTAGCACAGCACAGAAAGATGCCCATAAGTGTACAACTTGATGAACACGTAACCGACACCCAGGTCAAGAAACAACATTATCAACATTCCAGAATCCCTCTATACCCCTTATAGTTCATCACCCCAGCCTCGAAGGTGGCCGCTACCATGACTTCTAACACCATGGGTTACTTTTGCCTGTTCTTCATATAATGGAATCATACGATGTGAGCCTTTTGAATCTGGCTTCTGTCACTCAATCGTATGTCCGGGAGATCCATCCATACCTTTGTGTTTGACAACAGCTGGTTCATTCTCATTGCTGTGTGACATACTCATTACCACAATGTATTTACCCAATCCTGTTGTGGATGGACATTTGAATGTCTTCCAGTTTGGGGTTATTATAAATGGTGCTGCCATGAGCATTTTAATACATGCATGTTGGGGTGCATTTCTGTCTGGCATACCCCTAGGGTTGCAGGGTATATACATGTTCAGCTAAGCGGTTTCCAAAGCGGTTGTACCAATTTATATTGTAAGTTCTTGCTTGTTCCTTATCCTCTCCGGTGCTTGCTGTTGCCTATCTTTTCCATTCCATCCACCCTGGCAGGTGGGTAGTGGCCTCACACTGCGGTTTTAATTTGCATTGCCCTGAAGACCAATGTGGTTGAGTGACTTTCATAGGTTTTATTGGCCATTTGGGTATCCTTTGTGGGAAAGACACTGCTCATGTCTTTTGTCTGGGCAGATTCTTGACTGAGCAGGCTCACAGAATCCTTGACTCCCCCTCCAAGTAGGTAGTCTTACTTCAGCTATGGGGGAAGACCCCCCACTTGCCATGACACCACTTCCTGTGGCAAGGAGCCCTCTTCTGGAATGGGAAGTCCTTTGACAGCTAAACAAACCTGTGTTTGAATCCCGATTCGGCCTCTGACCAGCAGTGTGCCCCTGAGCCTTGGTATTCGCAAGGAGGAGATGGCAGTAATGACACCTGCCTCAAAGAGAACTCTGGGAGTTCGTTCCTGTGTGTTAATTACCTAACACACAGATGTACAGGAAGTAGGGGTTGGAGGCATGAATATGGGCTCTTGCATGGACATTTACAATTATGGTACTGAAGGAATATTTAATGATGGTTTGTAATGTACGGTTAAAGGAACAAAACTAGATAACAAAACCGTATTTGGGGCATATTCTCCTTTTTATACAGTTCATGAGAGAAATAACTAGAAGGAAATACATCTACATGTTAATCACAGTTATCTCCTGTATCAAGACTGCGTGATATTTAATGTTCTCTTCTGTGCTTTTCTCAATTCTAAAATTTACGTAATAAACAGGTATCATTCTGTAACTGGAGGAAAAAACAAACAAGAAAACTTATGGTTTTTTTTTTTTTAAGGGATTATTTCCTTTAAACACACCATCCCAAAGAAAAACACAATTATGCTGCTTTTGGAGAAATAATCTTGGTGACAATTCTCCTAAATGCTAGGTTGCCGTATCAACATGTGGGCATCTCTTTTCCACAACGATACTGTCTGCTAGTATTTTCTCTTTAGCTCTGATATTTTCCTTAGCTCTCTGTGCTAAGTCATTTGTAGATGTAATCACTTATATTTTATACGTAAGGAGAACAAGGCTCAAAGAGATGAAGTGACTTCACATGGCTGGGGCATGGCAGAGCCAGGATTTAAGCCTGAGACAGGGGACCCCTGAGTCCCTCTAGGGTCACCATTGGACTGCAGGCATCAGACCTTTGTAGGATGGGTCCACCACCCATTCCGGCACCTTCCTCCTCAGGGATGGTAGAAAGAAGTGGATACAAGCAGATGCAACCATCCGTATGGAAAGTTCTAGCACCAGCTTCTGCTCTAACATCCTGGAACTCACTGCCTCAAACCCTCGGTGCCTGCCAATGCTACAGACTTTGAAAATGGGGATGAGCTGGACACTCCCAGCCGCTGAAAGCCCAAGGAAGCTGACTGCATGTCTCAAGCAAGACCAGCGTGTCTCCAAAAATAGTCTGGAGTGAGGTGGAAGGGAATCCAGCCAGCCTAGAAGCCTGGCTTTCCCTAGCCGCCTCCTTTCTTACCTCCAAAGCCTGTTGTGAGAGCAAATTGGATTTTTAATACCGCAAATCAGAGAGGTATTATGAGCACAAAGCTTCTTTGTTTCCTTTTTAATTAAACGCACTTCAGAGGGCACTGTGTTTTCATTTTGTTCATCTCCACTGCTGATGGTACCAAGTCCCCAGTTGTTCCCATTAGTAACAAGACACCAATGGAGGGCTCAGTGGTGGCTTTTGGGTGGGGGGGGTGGATGAGTGAGGGGAGGGTCTGAACTGATTCCTGGGTTGCCTGGGTCTCTCCGGCTCCATCTAAGGTCATGACAGCTTTTTATTTGTGAGGAGAAACAAAGTGAGCCTTCCAAGTCCTTTTACCTCAAAGCAAAGTTGTCCATTCTTTTTTTTTTTTTTTTTAACTTAATGACAGGAGAGGGAAAAAAAAGCACCTCTAATGTTCCTAATCTGATATAAAGCCCCGGAAGACATAGTCCCGAGCTGAGGTGCTCCAGCTGTTCTGCAGAATGAGATTCTTTCCTTGCGGAACATTCCATGACAGCGGCTGACTTGGATGGTACATCTTACCCCCACTGACTCAGTTACCCCTCCTGACAGCTCCTGAGGGAGGACTGAACTGTTACTTTCAGGGTGCAGGTGAGCTTAGGGAGGTCACACACTTTACCCACAGCTACAGCCAGAGGAGTCAAGCTGGGACTTACATCCAGACTGGTACGCTCTGCTCTCTTGGAGCCCCGAGGTGCTAGCAAGCAGTGGGGTTCAGCTGGTGTTTGCTGGTACATTGTGTACAGGGTTGGGGGAGACTATGACCCTGGTGGCTCTCTACAAAGCACGCTCCCTAGGGCTCACAGCCCTGAGTGGCTCCTTCCCCGTTGACTCTGTCCTCGGCCACGTGCCTTGCTTTGCCAACGGGATGGTAGGAAGTATGACGCAAGCGGGTGTTTGATACGTGCTTGGGCATTACGGCTCCTCCTCCAGGAATCTTGAGCTACCCTGTCAAGAAGTTTGGTTACCACTGCTGGCGAGGTTTCCTAGCAAGAGAGAAGCATTAGGCCGCCCCCAAGTGCTCTGGGCCTCCCAGTAGACACTCCAGACATGTGAGGAAGAAGCCATCATGGATGGTCCAGCCCCAGCAGACATGGTAACACGTGAAGCAGAAAAACCCCCTGCTAAGGCCAGCATCATTGCAGAATATCGCTTAAGCCGGTGAGTCTGGGGTGCTTTGTTATGAAATAAGAGAATTCTGTTGGTCCAGAAATAGCCACAGAGGCCAGATATGTCAATAAACAGTGAAAACTGTCCTGCTCCAGCACTTTAAACCATGCTACTGGTTTTTCTCTTTGGCAATTCTGGTAACGGGAAGTCTTTCGTATCATGAAATTTTGCTGGGACTTGCGTCAGTGACAACTTTGATGGCTGTTTTCTCTCACAGGACCTTTCAGAGCCTTGAGTGTCACTCCTGGAAGAGACTGGGGAGACGGTGCACCCAGAGAGGAACAAAACGGGGAGACATGGTCTGAATCAAAAACCAGATTAAAATGCAGTGTTATCTGGGGGTGCTTTTCCCCCCGAGGGAAAACCCCTTTCGTCATCTGAGGCCATTGGCAGGTCCCCCCATGGAGTTGGGTTGACCAAGCAGAACTGGTGGTACCGGAGCCATCTGGTAAGGTGTTCACGCCTGAGTCTGGCCCAACTGCCAGACCTGCTGGGACATTAATTAGGGACCCGAGCAAATATCATCCTGCTTACTTCCTGTCTCCCAGGCAGAAGCTACAAGTTTCAGGAATTCCTGGGCCCTGCACCACTGGTATTTCTAGGGATTTTCTTTCTTTTTTTTTAAACGTCTATCACTACTTACCCCAGCCATGCTGGACATAGTTCTGATGTCTGGTGTCCTCTGTAGGATCAAGCTCCTTATGGCAGAGGGAAGAGTGAAGGTTATCATGTTGTCTTTGAATGGGCCAGAGTCTGGGTGAAGGAAGGAAGAGGAACAAATGAGAAGCTCAGCTTCCTTGCAGGGAGCAGATTCGACGTCAGGTATCCATCACCACCCCCCACCCCCGGCCCTACCTGGTCCTGGCCCAAGTGGGCATTGTTTGGAGCAAATTCTCCCCACCCTATTCCCATCCCCTTCATGTCTCAGTTTCTAGTGAGAAACTCCTAACACTTCAAGACCTTTGTTCATGACCTTCCCCTGGCCCAGGATGTCCTCCCTCCCTCCCTCCTGAAGACCTTTCCATTCCTCAGTACAGGTTCCAATCCTCCGCCTCTATGAAGCACCCAGTAGGCTCACGCCGACTGGTTGCCGAGTCTCCTTGCCCCCAGAGCATTCTTTGAGCCACTGACTTTGGCCTGATGTTTTACTGGACTCTGAACCCCCTTCCTCTTTCCCGGGGAGACCCCAAATACCCAGAGAGCAGGTTCACATCTTGGGCCTCCCGCGGTGTTATGACAGCCAAAGCACATAGCACACACCAAAAATACTTATGCTCGGATGAACAAGCGACTGCATGCCACGTGCAATCACAAATGAAAGAATAGGCCAGATTTTCTGTCTATGTGTGACTTCTGTTGTTTAGATCTAGGTGCCTAGAAGGAACAGATTTTATGTTTTCTTCTTTATATTCCCTGCCCCACCACCCCACCCTGCTACTCCAGGTACAGTGCCTTACAGAGATTTTTGGTGGATGAAAAAAAAAAATACTGCAGATTTTTAAATACAGAGATGGTGTCAAAGCTCCAGGAAATTGCATTCAGAAAGGAATCCTGTATGTTGACTTCTTGTGAAAACTAATGAAAGGAAACCAGTTTAGTTCAGGTTATGGTTGAGTTTAAAACGGAGGAGGGAGGCCAGCAGGGGGAGCTCTCACAGCCCCAACAGGAAGACCTACACCTTACCAACTCCAATACTACTTTAGCTACTAGTTTACTGCCCCAGCAGGAGAAGGAAAGGTCTCCTCTCCTGGCAACAGCCCCGCCAATGACAGTCACAGCTCAGCCAATCAGGAGGCGCTACCCTTCGAACTCCCAGTTTACTCCAATGGACTTCCGGATTATAACAGCTCTCCTATCTTCCCCCTTCCCTCTGGAAAGGAGCTACCTACCTCCCCTTTGCTCCCCGGACTTGCCTCTGGCCTTGCCTGTAGCTTTGCCACAGCTTGCACGTCCTGGGATTGCAATTCTCTGCTATTTCCAAATAAACCCGTTTTTGCTGGTAAAATGGCCGGCAGTTTTCTCTTTAAGGTTAACATGCTCTAGAAGGAGGTTTCAACGCGTCAGCGGACTCTAGGGTTCGACAAACGAAGAAGCGAACGAAATGACAGAGATGAAAAGTCTAGCATAGAGAATGTGGCCGATAATACTGCAGTAGTTTTGTGTGGTTAACAGATGGTGACGACAATTACCTTGGTGAGCACTGTGCAGTGTATGGAATTGTCAAATCTGTGTTTGTACACCTGAAACTACTACAACATTGTAGGTCACCTATACTTCAATTTACAACAATCCAGGGCTAGACAGTCTCATTGTGTTGGCCTCCAAGGCACAGCCCATGTCGTCTTCATCTCAATATACTACATGTCTAGCACAGTGCCTGGCACAAAAGTGTAGTTCAGTGTTTGTTGAATGGCTAGCTGACTGACTGCACAGTGGATGAAAGCAGGATTCAAGGGTGGTGTCCCCAGTGAAGGTTCTAGACAAGCCAGATTTTCCACAGCCCTTTCTACCTAGAGAAGAACCCAATGGGATTCCAAACCACCAATGCAGTTTTCAACTCCAATCTCATAGGTAGAAAACCAAGCAAACCCCACGGCCATTTTAATGAAAAATTTGAGATCGTATAAAAACTTTAACAAACAAAATATAAGAAGTATTGCCGTGGAAGGGGTAGAGATGTGTTTTAAACTGACGGTGAGTGCTTTAATAGCCACAGAACAAAGTGCTTCGGGGACACAGAGGAGAGAACAGTTGGTCCTGCTGGGCTGAGGGGGTTGGGTGCTGGGAGGGTCAGGTGAGGTTGGATTCCATTCCCCAGTTGAAGATACTGAGTATTAAAGCAGCTGCTTTGGGAGGTCAAGCCTGAGCTTGTCTGCTGGACTGAGAGAGCCCTCCTGGACCTGGCCGGCCTGACCCCTTGGCCAAGCATCTGAGGCACCGGCTAAGGTCGTGGATGTCTGTGTTTTCCCAGGGTCACTGCAGAAATGTTAGCACCTCAGCCAGGCACTCAGCAAAGGTCGAAGAGAGAACCATTCCATAATCAAGCGGGGACAGTGGCCAGACTCCTCTGGTAATGGCCTTCACTTCATATCTAGAGGAGAGAATAGAACTTACCCCAAACCCACCGAAATGAGAGCCCTCACTGGTACCTGTTAGCTGTCGCCCCTCATTTTTACTCTATAAGACAGCAGGTGGAAGCTGGGAGCTGGTTTGCAAATAAATTGTAGTCAAAAGACCAAAATCTGAGGGTGATTGCCTTTCCTTTCCTTTATTTATTTATTGTTTTAATATAAGTTTAAGTGGATCTAGGTCATTCCTGTAATAATGTTGCTTTGCTGGCCTGGAGATTAAATAAGTGTAGCATGAAATCCTGCCCTGTGAAATGCATGCTGGGAGTGTGCCAGTCACCTGAATATTACCCACTGTGCATGTTGGGAGGGAAAGAAGGCTGAGAACCCCTACCCTACAGAGTCATCCCCCTTGAAGGCAGGGGCCAAATGGAGCATGAAGGACATGCTCATTAGCAATTGTCAATACACCAATGACAGAGTGCCCAGTCATATAATAAATGATGGTAGCTGCCACCCTACCATATATGAGAACCCACTGTATGCCAGGCACTGTGCCAGACCCTTTACCCTCTTTGGTTTACAACCATTGGTTCTTCACCACTGCCCCACAAAAAAGACACTGTTAATCCCATTATGGACAAAGAATGGGGTCTTGGGGAGATCAAAGAAGCTCCCTAGTCTGATAATTATTAAGTGGTACAGCCTAAACCCCAAAATAAGTCTAAATTCATGCTTGCTTGACTGATATCTACCTTTCTATGCCTATGTGTCTATATATCCATCCCTCCCTCCTTCCGTCCATCCTCTGGTGTTAATAAGAACCACATCCTCAGTAGGAATAGCAAGGACTTTCCCCTTTTCCCCCAAAAGGTGATTCCAGAACCAGAGTCTCTTGAGTCCATATGTTCCTTTGGGGACTGAACCCTGAACTTCTCTGGCTTTCCACCAGGGCCTCCAGTGAACTCACTGCTGAGTGGCCCTGCGTGGCCCAAGTGTCTCAATACCCAGTAAGGCCTTACTCTAAGTAAGGGATCTAATCATTGAGCACTAGTTGGACTCTAAGAAGCTTACCCTTCCACTGTGAATTCTTTTTTCTCTTTAGAGAGTAACAAACTATCAAGCCCACAGATATCATTCCCTAGCCTGGGATACACCAGAGAGGGGCCCACAGACCATCAATTACTTAGAAGGATCTGACACACCCCAAAGCCCAGTATAAAAATACCTCAGCTATGCCTGTCACAGATGCCTGGAATTCCACCATTAGAAAGTCATTTCTCTGCTTTACCCAAGTAATCCAATTCTAGGAATGCATGCTCCAGATGTTCTCAAACAGCCAGGTGGAATGATGGGAGCACATGGCAGCACTATTTGTAAGAGAAACAATGTAGAAACAACCTAATACAGGTTGGGTAAATACATAGAGGGCTGATTAAATAGAGGCATAGCTAAACTATGGTACATCCATACCGCACAATGAGATACTGTGTAACCATTAAAAAGAATGAGGCTACTCTATACACCCGGTATGAAACAATCTCCCAAAGACATAAAATGAACAAGGTAAGGTAAAGGATTCTATGTTGAATAACACACCCATGATCCATTCAAATGCATGTAAACTATCTCTGTAAAGATGGAAAAGAGCTTGATATCAGTTGTGGCCGCAGAGAGGGAAATTAGGTGGATGGGGTCCTGAGCAGGAGCAGTGGCTGCCACACTGTATTTTAGGTGAGTGGTGCCCTCTGGAGTTGTGCTAGGGGGTGGCCCTGACGGAAGAGGGATTTTCTGCTCTTTATCCTTCCTACAACTTTCAATAGGACAACATGTAAGTATCACATTAATTTAAAAACTGGAATTTAATTTAAACATATATAAGGAAGGTAGGATCATATCCTTTTTAAGTAACCTCTACACCCACTGTGGGGCTTGAACTCACAACCTTGAGATCCGGGATCGCATGTTCAACCTTGAGATCCGGGATCAACTGAGCCAGCCAGGCACCCTAGGTCATTCCTTATACTTCTGTCATGAGTTTTTTTCATTCATTTGGTAAATATTTATTTAGTCCTTACCATGTGGGTGGAATGTGCTGAGCACACAGAGGTGAGTAAAGCAGAACTTATCCCCGTTAAAGGGCATGTATGCCTGGGGCACCTGGGTGGGTCAGTCGGTTAAGCGTCTGACTCTTGGTTTTGGCTGCAGTCGTGATCTCATGGTTCATGAGTTTGAGCCCTGCATCGGGCTCTGTGCTGACAGAGTGGAGCCTGCCTGGGATTCTCTCTCCTTCTCTCTCTCTGCCCCTCCATCCCTCCCTCTCTCAAAATAAATAAACTTAAAAAAATAGAAAAATAAAAGGCATGCATGCCTGGGAGTGTGGACACCATGGTGATAATAAGGACAGCTGTCGCTTACTGGGTGCCTGCGAGGCACTTAGTATCCAGACACGATCCATCATCCACCTGCCATTCAACAGGCATTGCAGTACAGAGCACAGATTAGGGGGTAGGCTGTCTGGATTCCAAGCCTGCCTCTACACTCAGGAGGGGATCATATTCACCTCCCTGTGCCTATTTTCTCATCTGTAAACAGGGACTCATAACAATATGTATCCCACTGAGTTGTGGTAAGGATTAAATGAGCTAACACACGTGAGATTCTTAGAACAATTCCTGGCTGGGTGCACAGTTAGCACCACAAAAGCGTTGCCTGTTTACCGCTCCTCACCCAGCGTGCTGCACATACTGTAGGGAATAAGACAGCCACAGCCCACGCTCACAGGGGGTTTGCCATCCCCAGAGACAGACACTAAGCACATAATTACCACTGTATCTATCTTCAGTAGCTATAACACCATGTGCTGAGCACTCCTGGGCCACGTGGACTACAAGTGGAGGAGGAAAAGAAGCTCAGTCTAACAGGAAGAGTAGGGGTCAGACTAGCAGACAGGTGGGGAGGGGGCACTGTAGGTCAGGGGACAGCATGAGGAAAAGCAGGGAGGCATGGGAAGGAAACCAGCTTCCTGTGCCGCTGGAATGTTTGATGTAAGGGAGGAGATAGGGGAGTAGGGGCTGGGATGGGGCAGCGGCCAGCTCGTGGGTGATCCAAGAGCGATGAGAAATCAAGAAGGTGTTAGGCAGTAGAATGACTTGGTAAGACCTACCTTTTATGAAGAAGACTCTGGCTGCAGGTGGGGGACTGGACCGCAGGGCAGGCAAAATAGAAGGCTGGTAGATGAGAGGGGAGGCCAGAAGAAAGATGAGCATACAGAAAGGCTCCCTCCTAGGACGTGCCCAGGTGGCTCAGTCAGTTAAGTATCTGACCCTTGATTTCAGCTCAGGTCATGGTCTCATGGTTCGTGAGTTCAAGCCCCATGTCAGTGCAGAGCCTGCTTTGGATTCTCTCCCTCTCCCTCTCTCTCTGCCCCTCCTCTGCTTGTGCTCTCTCTCTCTCTCTCAAAATAAATAAACTTAAAAAAAAAGTCTTCCTTCTAGAAAAAATCTTGAAGGAGAGACGGTACCTTAACCCTTTGTTTGCCTGGCTGGACCAGTCAGTGTTCAACACGCTTCAGGGCAGCAGCAGAGGCTGGTCCTGTGGAATGGACACAAGAAATCACACACACATAAGAGACAAGGCTTTCTGTTTCCCTTCAGTTCTTCCACGGAAGGAGTTCTGATCTTCTTTATTCCTTGCTGTATCTCCAGTACCTACAACAGTGCCTGGTACATGGAGAATGCCCAATAAATGTCCACTGTTGGAGGACACAGGCAGAGCAAGTAACATGCACAAAGGCAACCATGATGAGGGAGCCAGGGAGGGAGAGGAGAAACCATGGCTCAGAGGCCAAGGGAAGCAAGTGTTGCAGGGGGGGAATTGGTGGTTATGGAGGTCAAGGAGGACCTATGGAGGTCAACAAGCACCCACTGGAGTTTGGAATTCATGCCCCTTCTCCCTTACCACCATGATGGTGTCAGCGTGGTCCTGTTGGTTAACAAGCGTCAGGAGCACCCGCCCCATAAGCAGGATTGTGTTTAGGACCTGACCTGGAAGGGTACAAAAATAGGAGGCGACAAGTCCATTCCCTGGATGTTCAGAGTCTAACCAGGAAGATCTTAATTCACAAGCATGAGCAATTCACAGTAACACAAAACTCCATTTCTGGTTTCTGTAGATGTCCCCTGGATCACTTCCCCAGAGTCCTACAGCTTGATAATGGAAGGACAGAATAAGTAGGTGTACAGACCTTGTCTTTACTCATTAATTTTTGTGGTGGGAGTCGCTCGACGTTTGCCAAGAGAGTGGCTGGTGGCAGCCTAAATACAACTGCAAATCTGCAAAATAGATGTTGCTGTAAGGAAGAAGCCATCCTAACTGTAGAGACATTTCACAAAAAGTGTTTTCATTACAATAAGAGAGACAAAAGATTAGGGAGAATGCTGGCAGTCATGTTTAGTATTGCTTATCTAATAGGTCGGATTCAAGTGCTCCCAATAAGCAAAAGATTGTGAACAAAACAAGCATTTTCAACTAAAGCCAATGGGTTCCCTTCCTAAACAATTCAGTCCCAAAGTCATTAGGTAGAGCTGAGTGAGGAAGGAGTCCATGGTGGGGGATGGAGGGCAGGAGCCATGGTGGCCCAAAGCAGGGGATCAGAGTCCAAGTGATGAGGAGGACAAGCCCAAGGAGGGTGACATGACCCGTGGTGTCACCATCTGTTCAGTGCAAGGAGAGATTCCTCATACGGTGGGAGAATGGCAGACTGGCACGTAGCATCAGAGGGAAAGAGTGCACCCACGTGGGGGCGTGCCCATGTGCGTGTGTGTGCGCATGCATAGGGAAACACGTATCTTAGCTCTGCCTGGGAGCACTAACATTTCAAAAGGGATGAGCACGTCTGATGCCCAAATCTTGGATTCCAAATGCCATTTTCCATTAAAATGAATCAAGAGGCCTTGGAGAAATGGTTGATTCACTAACTGGGGCCTAGAAGTCAGAAGGTGAGCCTCCTGGAAGTCAGAAGTCCAGAAGGTGTGCTGGAAAGTAGGGATGTGCTGAAAGAATGATGGAACCATACACAAAAGCCACAGAATGAAGGAGCTCTCAGTGGTCAAACTGGGGACAATGTTAAAGAATGATGGGAATGGATATAACTCACTAACTTCTATAGGAATCCAAAAGTTCATATGGAGATAAAAAATAATTAAAGTTGATGAGGAATGAGACATTTACACAATTTCAAAGTACCTCTCCATAAAATACCTATCAATTACAAAGAAGAAAAGTCTAGTTTTATAGTGAAGAAACCTAGTAGACACCACCTTAACCAAGTGATCAAAGTACAGGAACAAACCAAAATGGAGAACGCCTCGGTAGGAGGCAAGGGGAAGAAGGCAGTGTCATTGCATGATTTTCCTGCTATGGTGTATAACTTGAATCTGATCCGGAGGAAACATTAAGCAAACCTTAACTGAGGGACGTTCTACAATGTCTGTGATCTTTAAAAGTGTCAAGGTCAAAACATTAAAAAAATTTTTTTAAGGGGAGCCTGGGTGGCTCAGTTGGTTAAGCATCCAACTTCGGCTCAGGTCATGATCTCATGGCTCACAAGTTCAAACTCCACATCCAGCTCTGTGCTGACAATGCAGATTCTGTGTTTCTCTCTCTCTCTGTCCCTCCCATGCTTGCTCTCTCTCTCTCTCTCTCAAAAAATAAATAACAACATTAGAAAAAAAGTGTCAAGGTCATGAAAGTCAAGGAGAGACTGTTGAGTTGTATTTCCAGACTGAAGGGGACTAAACAGACTTAATTAAGTGCAAGAGTGATTCTGAACTGGATCTTTTTGTGGTCAAAAACATGGTTGCGATAATTGGCAAATCTTGTTTCCTGGTTTTGATGGTTGTGCTGTGGTCAGGTAGGGAAGTGTCTTTGTATGCAGGAAAGACACAGGAAAGTATTGAAAGATGATGGAGTATCAGGGCAATGTATTCCTAAAGAGTTCAAGAAAAAAGGAGGGTTTTGTTTTTTTGTACCACCCTTGAAATTGTTCTGTCACTTTGTGATTGTTTCAAAATTTAAAAATGACAAGAAACAAATATAGAAAATTAAATTGTAGATAAATAAAATGTAGCATATACATACAATGGAATATTATTTAGCCTTTAACAGGAAGGAAATTCTAACATGTTACGAACATGGATGAAGCTTAAAGACATTATAGAAAGTAAAATACACCCATCACAAGGGACGAATACTGTATGATTCTGCTTATAAGAGGTTCCTGGGGGCGGGGGGTGCCTGGGGGACTCAGTTAAGCATCTGACTCTTGATTTCACCTCAGGTCATGATCTCATGGTTCAGGTCATGATCTCATGGTTCATGAGATCGAGCCCCATGTTGGGCTCTGTGCTGACAGCACGGAGCCTGCTTGGGATGCTCTCTTTTTCTCTCTCAGAATAAATAAATAAGCCTAGAAAAAAAAAGAGGTACGTTGAATAGTCAAACTCATAAGGACAGATAATAGAAGGGTGGTTGCGAAGGGCTGGGATGGGGGTAACGGGGTAAGTGTTTACTGGGGCCAGGTTTTAGGTTTGGGAAGATGAAAAAGTTCTGGAGATGGAGGGTAGTGATGGTTGCACAATGATCTGGATATATTCAAGGCCACTGACCTGGTGAGGACAGTAAATATTATGTTACGTATATTTTGCAACATTATATTTAACTTAAACAAAGGAAACTGTGATTTGCTAAGGTGCATTCTGGTGACATGTTTAGTTTCAAATCGTTGCTGTGAAAAGCGTCACCAGGGTCGGTGTGTGTCTTGAATTAAATATCAAACATTCTCGGGGCGCCTGGGTGGCTCAGTCGGCTAAGTGTCCGACTTCAGCTCAGGTCACCATCTCGCAGTTTGTGGGTTCGAGCCCTGCGTCGGGCTCTGTGCTGACAGCTCAGAGCCTGGAGCCTGTTTCAGATTCTGTGTCTCCCTCTCTCTCTGACCCACCCCGTTCATGCTCTATCTCTCTCTGTCTCAAAAATAAATAAATGTTAAAAAAAATTTTTTTTAATAAATAAATAAATACCAAGTATTCTCCAACTCAGGGTTCCTGTTCCAGCTCCGTGAAAAGGAGCTCACCCTGAAAAAAGGAAAGATTTTGTGTAAATGCTTCACGTAGCCAAACATTAACTTTATGACTCTGTGACAATTTAGGAAAAACTCTTCCCGCCAAACGTGGTCGTGAATGTCCATTCTTAGAGAGTGATAGGATATTTGGGAGCCTCATTCTTCAAAGTAAATCTGCTTTTAGTTACTTAGCTAAATAAAGCAACCCAACCAAGTGGCAAGACTCCAAGGTACGACATTGCTATGGGCAAACAAGGCAAACCCTTCTGCTTCATAGTTTGCCTTGCTTGTAAAACCAGAGCACGCATGTCTGCTTATTTAATACAGAGGTTCTGCAATGCTCTGTCAGAGCAAATTCCTGTGGCCATGAAACATGACACACAAATCCAGACGGAGGTTAAGTCTATGATGTTACTAACAGTAAATGCTGCCTTGTAGTTCCTTGGGTGAGTCCTAGGGATAAACCAAACAGTTGCTTTGATGTCTAGCTCCCCGTCCACTGCACTGCTCAACCAATAGCACGACCTACGAGCCTACCTCAAGGTCACAATGAACACTGTTCTCTGGTTGGAGGAGCTGGAGGCTCCATGCCCTTCCTTGGCTGGGAAAGGTCTCACCTAAGTGGTAATAATCTGGCACAACATAGAAGATACAGTGAATCAAACAGCAAAGCACCTTGATTCCTCGGGCCTGGTTCCTTCGTGTCAAATGTCAGACGTGCCAGGATAGACATTTCTTTAGTGCTTTCCAGTCCTATGGTTTTCACAATCTGCAACTACTGAGGCAATAATTTATGAGTTGATGGTGGTATGGGTTACTAAAGTTTTTTTGTTTTTTTTTCCCTTAATTCCTATGTTAGGGATATGTATGTGTGTTTCTTTGAGAGTAAAATTAACTCTTAGTTGGTCAGTTCTTGGAATGATTGGTCTCAGAACCACACATTAGTCCAGAACTATACTTACCCTACCCTGCAGGAAGTTTGCCACCTGAGATCATAATTGTACAGAAACAAATATATTCAGTAATAGAGCCCCATTCCAGAAGTACATATTGTGAGACAGATATAATGACACATGTCCTTTAAACCTAATCCTCTTATGCTGGGCCTAATATAATTTAGGTTTCAAGGCCATATGTATATATGGGTTACATTTCAGAAGACAGGCAATTGGTCTAAATCCAAATAAAAATGAGCTAAGTTTGGCCCCCTTTCATTTATATCCATCCATCAACAGCTGTACAGAGACGGGATGGCTCAGGCAGTTGTTCCAAAGGGTCTTTCAGTCCCGTTAAAGCTGCATCCAGAAACAGCTGAGGCCGAGCCAGGGTCTGCCCTGTCTGAGGTCTCACAAACTGAAAAACACACTCTCAGACATGATTATGCCCTTCCCTGCTCTGTTTCCTGGTTAAGATTCTCTGAGATTTCATTTTATGAGTATTCCTGACCACCAGATGTTTGCAACTCAGGGCCTGCACCGCAAGCTCTTTATTACCTGTTGCATAAAACCAGTGACAGCTGTACATCTAGGCAGGATGGGGACAGTGCAGGGGACAGCGCACTCCCAACGCTGAGGAGGGGAACCGTGGCGGGTGCTAGTTCAGAGGCCGCTATTTGCCTAGGTGATCGGTGTGCTGGGGCAAAGGGAAGAGCTCCGTAAGGGAGTTGCCCAGTAGGATGCCCCCGCGGGCGCCCTCAGAGGGAGACCATCAGAGGCCTCGGACAAACACAGTGAGAAAGTTAGGAGCTTCAAGGGGCCTAGGAGTCTCTCCTGACCAAGCAGTCGGCAGGTGGGACAGGGCCCTTGGAGGGTCCCGTTGTGCCCAGCAGCCAGACGCAGCGGAATCGTGGTGCATTTCCATGGGAACGGCTGGGCAGCCCCACACTCAGCGGTGTGCTCCGTCTATTTCTATGGCACCTATCACCATGGCACCTACTTGCTCTGAAAAACACAGGCTAAAAACAGAACCTAAAGTAAAGGGGGGCAATCCGCTTCCCCGCAGTCACCTTCTGCAGCTGCTGTTACACTTTGGGATTGCTCATGCGGACCTTTTGCGTTCTGAGTTTCCGTGTTTTTGCTGTCGGTGGCTTTAAAAAAATAAAAGGCTTACTTACCATCAGCATCAGCATCATCTTGGGGTGATGTGGCCTGAGGCTCCAGGAAGTCTGTACTTACTTGCTGCAGGTGTAAAATTTCCAGCCAGAGGGAGCTCCTCTGAAGTGGCTCCTCCTCCCAGGGCTTGTTCAGGGCCTCCTGTAAGGTGTTTGGGAAAGTGGGGGAAAGCTGGGGGTTAGTGGACAGGGACAGTGACAGTGACATCAGTATACACAGATGACCCAAGAAAGGACCTGTGTTTATCCCAACAAGTGGATCACAAGCTCCCCTGGGAGCGAAATCCACAAGGTCAAATAGCTTCCCTGAAAGTTTTCCCTAAGTTAATGGCCACCCTTTATAGCACAGCCCTTAACCCAGTCTCTGGAGTCAGACAGAGCTTGAGTTTGAATCCTGACTCTGTCACTGGCCAGCCATGTGAGATCGGTGGGCAACCTCTGAGCAGATGGTTAACGTACTCATCTATAAACTAGGGATGAGAAGACACAACCCACAGGAACAAGCCACTTCCTGTGATCTCAGCCTTCGTGGTCATTCTTTCATTTGTCCAGCTATAAAATGGGGAGAATAACAGCCTCGAAAGCTCAAAAGAGCTTTGTGACTGTCGAGGAGACAATATATGAAAAGCACTGAGCAGAGTACTCACAGCTGCTAGAGAGGAAACTGTGAGCAGGTGGGCAATGACAATGGCCAGGACAGAGTGCTCAGCCTGCCCTGGTTCTCCCGGCCTGACTTCCTGCCCTCAGGCCCTAGAAACAGGGCCCTCAGCCATGAGTAGCTTCCTGCCTCCAGACTCCCACATTTATCAGTGTCCTTGGGCACAACAGATGTGGCTAAGGACAAGCTCACTCTCTGCAGCAAGAGTAACCATGCAGAAGGATCATCAACCTGGTACTTTCTGTGATACATAGGACAACAAAATTCTCACGAACTGGAGAAAATCCCAACGCAGTTCCCTGTTTGTAGGCTTTGGAGTCAAGCAGGCCTGGGGACTCAAGTCTCCCCCCTGCACATCTGTTGGCTGAGTGACTCAACTGAAATTCCCTTTCCTCGCCCATCTGTGAAGTGGGCTGATGCCTCCTATCTCAGAGAGAGGTTGGGGCATTAAAGGAGAAGATGTAGGAAGTGCCTCCAGCCCAGAGTCCACACAGAGTGGGCTCTCAGTAAATGTGGGCTCTCCTCTTCTCTAACCCCCCACTGAATGTTTTAAGGTACAGTAAATACTCTATTTAATGAATTAAGGGTTAGCCTTTATAATAGAAGGAAACAGGCGTGTTTCCTGAATTTGCTGAGGTGCTGGTAAATGCTGGTAAATGCTGAACTCCCAGGCTCACACAACACCCAGCCCAGGGTTGGCATGGCCCCCCTCCAGGGCCCCCGCTGCCCTTTCTCACCACCCCCTCTCAAGAACGCTCTGCCAAACAAGCCTGTAGGCTCGCTCTCACCACTGCTTACCCTTTCCTTTTTATTTTATGAAAGTAACTTCCCCCTTGCGAGCATTGTGGCTGTCTCCCTACCAAATCCCACCCTCCAAGAGGTCCCCCTTTCCACTTGAGGCTTCACGTGCTTCCAAGAAACTGGGCACGACTCCAAGGTGCTGGGGACGGAACATGTGGCCTGAGCTAAGCCAATCACATAATTCCAGCCCCCCCGCAGGCAGGGATTGGTTCATGGGTTCAATGCCACTTGGAACTGTCCGGAGAATAGGGAACAGAAGGTCTGCAGGGGCTGTCGATGTGAGGCTGGGCCGCTCCAGTCATTTGACTATCATAAGCAAAGCCAGCCTGTTGGCAAAGCCAACACATGAAGAACAACAACCAAAGCCTCACAAAGAACGGTTGCCGGAGCCATGGCGGCATTCGTAGGCCTACATCAAACTGCGTCTCAGACTTGCCCGGCCTCTTTCTTGGGTCTGTGAGTCAGTATAGTCCATTCATGGTTAAACCAATTAGAGTTGGGTTTTCCATAACACGAGGATACAAGCACCAGGAACATTACTTCCTCTTTAGAGTTCCAGAGCCCTCATCACATTGAGACCTCAGTTCCAAAGCCAGGTCTTGAAGAAAGCCCGCCTAATTCTATTTCCTCCTTTACCCCCAGCTCCTGTGTGTTGTTTGTTAGGAATCGAACACGTGTGTGACCCTAACAATAAAATCGGTCATGTCTCCATTTTCCCACCAAGGACACTGAGGCCCCAGTGAAATCATTTTCTCCGTGGCTACACATTTAGTAGTTGGTAAGATCAGGACTAGTCTAGAAATGAGGACCCTGTGTGATAGGTAGGCTATTAATAAGTTTTCATTTTTTTTAAATATGAAATTTTTTTAATTCCCCAGTTGGATTATAAATTTGTTGAGTCCAAAGCTATTTTTTCTTCCTATTTTGACCATCCATTGTAGTCGCTTGAGACATGTTTGTTACCAAATGGCTAAGGGAGTCTCCTGGCCCAGGGCCCGACAATGTCCAGAGGTCTGCTGAGTACCAGGCATTGGGTGAAGTGCTTGACATATGTAATCTTATGTTTTTATTATTTTTTATTTTTGTTATTTTTTAAATTTTTATTTATTTTTGAGAGAGAGTGCACATGAGCAGGGGAGGGGCAGAGAGCCAGGGGATAGAGGTTCCAAAGCAGGCTCTGTGCTGACAGGAGAGCCCGATGTGGGGCTCGAACTCGCCAACCACAAGATCATGACTGAAAGGAACAATCCAAATGACAGCCCTGCCTTAGTTTAAAGCTAGGTTCTCTTTTCTGCTTATTATGGATCTTTGATAAGAAATACAATTGTTGAGAAGTCTGTTTTGCTTGCTGTTTGCTACGAGCATTGTGAGGCCTTTCCTGAATGTAACCCGCTGTGTAGTAGAATGGGTTGTAAACCTTCCTAAATGTAGTCTGATATGTAATGGAATGAGTGATTGTACATAAACTAACCGGCATTTCTCGCTTCTGTAAACCTGCTTGCTTAGCACATTCCTCACCTACCCTACCCTCTTCCCCCTTCCCCCTTTTTCCTCCCGCCACAAGTAATGGACAAAGCCTTCCCGCCAAAGGACAGACAAAGGACGCCCAATCAGAGAACAACAAATGTCCTTACTTTAAAATCAACTAATCAGGCCCCTCATAATTTGAAACCTCCCCTGTGCTATTTGTCTCTGTCTATAAAAATGCTGTACCAACCCTGATCGAGGCCTCTTGCGTCACCGGCGACGGGTGCGCAGAGGACCAGGTTCGAACCTGCAATAAACGACCCTTGCCACTTGGCTTTGACTTACGACTCTGGTGGACTTTTGTGGGAGGTTTCGGAACTTCGGGCATTACAATGACCTGAGCCAAAGCTGGACACTTAACTGACTGAGCCACCCAGGCACCCCAGTAATCTTATTTTTTTTTTAAATGGCTTATTGTAGGGGCACCTGAGTGGCTCAGCCAGTTAAGCATTCAACTCTCAGTTTTGGCTCAGGTCATGATCTCACAGTGTGGGATCAAGACCCACATATTGGGCTCTGCACTGACAGCATGGAGCCTGCTTGAGATTCTCCCTCTCTCTGCCTCTTCCCCCTCTCAAAATAAATAAATAAACATGAAATGAAATGAAATGAAATGAAATGAAATGAAATATAAAATAAAATAAAATAAAATAAAAATGGCTCATTTTAGGGGCATGTGGCTGGCTTAGTCGGTGGAGTGTGCAGCTCTTGACCTCGGGGTTGTAGGTTCAAGCCTCCCAATGGGTGTAGAGATTACTTGAAAATAAAATCTTAAAAAAAAACCAGCTCATCATATTTATGTGATTCTTAGGCCCGAGGATAAGTGGCCTTTTGCCAAGGCCTGTGAGCAGAACCTGATTGTACTGGAAGGGGAGGATCTATCCTGAAGAAGGAACACAGAGAGCAGTGGTCCCCTACTGTGGCACATGGCTGTGTGGAAAGCGCAAGGACTCTGGGTTTGATTCCCAGGCATGTGCCCCTAACCCCCACCCCCACTCTGTGGATGATGGCCAACCCTACTCGGGAGCCAAAGAGAGATAAAGAAGTTCAAGGAAACACTGGCCACCAGGTGGGGAGAAGTTTCCATCCCATTCCTTGCCAAACATAGATTTGCTGCTGGAAACCCAGAGCGTGCCAAGAAACGGTTATAGCCCAAGCTGCTCTATTTCCTTGAAGATCATTGTGTTTGGATTATAAGAAAGTGTTTTTCCTTTTGTCTCTGCCCAGCAAGCCGTGAAGAGTTCCAGATCTGACAGCCTGAGCACTGGGTCTAACTTATTAAAGAAAGGGAAGGGGTTGCTGCGTGGCTCAGTGTGTATTTTCAATTAAGACGTGAAACTGTTCCTCAGACAAGCCAGGCTTTGCTCAGGTGTTGAGCGTCATCATATAACCAGTGTGTACCCCTGCTCAGGGCTCTTTGTCAGTCATGGGGAATGTTCTTCCTCTTTGGGTAAATGTGACAGAGCAGCACTTCTCTGTGGCTTGGGTGGGGAGTTGGGTAGGGAAGACTGAGGGACAGGAAGAGATAAGATATCTGACATTTTGTCACTTCTTCTAATCTCCTCTTGCATTCACAGAAGGGGGTAGGCCCAGCAAGTTGTTCCACCCCAGGATGAGGCTTCTGGTGTTAAACAGTTCTACGTTTCTGCTGGAAGCCATTCAGTTTCCATTTATGGGAGGCAGTGTTCTCAAAGTATAGATCTCTAGGACACCTGCATCAGAACCCTGGAGCGCTTGGTAAAATTGCAAATTTCTGGCTCCAGAGGATTCCCACTGATTTAGACTCTACCAAAGATTGAGAACCTTGGGTAGCAGGTGAAGAACATGAGTTTTAGAGTCAGATCAGTATGGACTGAACCCCAAGCTGCAGCTCCACTACCCACTACCTGTGGATCTTGGCCAGGTTATGTAACCTCTCTGGGTCTCCATTTCACCTGCACAAAGGGAATGCTGAACAATCAAGATGGATGGAGCTCATGTGGTTGTTACACGGATGAGGTGAAACATCACGTGTGTAGCCATGCTCGGCAGAAACATTCATTGATTGCATGGTAACTCTTCTTTTTATACAACAATACCTGTACTCAAAAAGTCTGAGGACTTTACTATTTACAAGAAATAATAAACTGGGCCGTCACAAGCAGTGTTAAGAGTCC